ACAACTCGTGAAGCAGGCGCAAAGCTAGCAGTGGCGGAACGCGATGATAATCTTATCATCCGCGTTCCGCCACTGCCACTGATTTGCATATGAGCTTTCTGGAACACATCAAGTTATACAAAAGTGCCATAACGAAGTGTTCCTCAATTTTGATCGGTAACTATGCATTTTTTAACGATAGTGTAAGTGGGGAAAACAGTGGAGCACATGACTGATTTCAATTTAATTTTCGGCATCCATTTTTGAACACTCCTCGCCAAGAGATGGCACCTCTTCTGTGCCTCCCACCAAGCCCACGTACTTTTGGTTCAGTTTTCTGTATTAGTCTGAACCAGACGCTGAAGTAATCCGTTACTACCAACAGGAGAACTTGTAATCCATTACATTTTTTTATTTTGTAATTTATTGATTAATGCATTACTTCTACGAACATGTAATTTCTAAAGTAATTCCATTACTTTCTGCGTAATGAATTACTCAATTACCCGCTACATTTCTACCATGCGGCGAAAAAAAAAAGATATGGTGAAAGAAGTGCGAGGCAATTATATTTGCGCTTTTAACATGGTCACACAAGATGCGGGTTCGCAGCGAAGGGAGTGCTAACCAGAGAAAGGAAAGGAATTCGCGGAATACGCGACAGCGCAGTGTTCCTAGCAATGGAGTGTTTGTATGTGTGTGTGTGGTATATGGGGGGGGGGGGGGGGGGGGGGGAGGAAGACAGTCCGAGTGCACCCTCCCGCGGTTCGGGAGAACGGAGACAGAGAAGCTGTGCTTTGACACAGAGACGCAGTTCGGTGTTTTATTGCCCAAAGCGCCTGAGACCACTTCCGGACAACTCAATGAGCGGGTCCTGACTTTCAGAGCCGAACGGACGTATTCCAGGAACCGTTAGCCGAACCGGGGGACCAACCAAAGCACGTGTGCATGTATATATATGTGAGCGCGTGCGTGTAGGCCAGTTGGGAGGAGGAAGGCACGGACTAAAAACACCGTCACCTCGAAATGAGAATGTCGGAGTTGGAGGAAGTTCCATTTGGGGACGATGCGGGTCCTCGTTAGCGGACTGTGCATGCGGGAAGTTAAACCGAAACTTTGGGGGAAAAGGGAAGCACTGAATAATCAGTAGCTGACATGAACATTCAAGTTGAGAGAGGAGAGAACGGCTGTAAACCTTTGAGAGACGTGGATGCGTGCTGATTACTGATTACGATACATTTGATAATTTCTTAACGGCATACTTATTTCACCTGTGACTCGTGCATTAATATTTCATTTTGGTGAACAAGAAGAAAGTCATTCGGTCTGAGAGCCACCTTCATCAAGCGCAGCAGTCTTCGGAACGTATCAAAAAGCGAGTAGGGCATTTTGTTCTACTACTAAACCGTTTAAATGAGCAAAAATATATATTTAGCAACATGAAGCAGCCAGTGGGAGCACGTGGGAGCAGTGTTTTGCGGTTTGCCGATGCTGAATCGGGATTATTTAGAGCGGTGTGGTGTGCCTCAGCGTTAGCACGGGAAAGCCCAACCAAACGTATTCGTCGTATGTTCATGCGATGCAACCCTCTCTCGGTGGATCAGCGCAGGACCCATTTATCTCAAATGTCAGTTTAAGTATTTTATTATTTATACCTTCGACCTCTTAAAGTTCTCAACCTAAACACATATGCCAAATTTTATTGGGTGCATTTAATCCGCGTTTTATTTTAGATAAGGCAATAATTCCCGCCCCCAAACACGCAGTAAACGTTGAATGCCCTTTGTGAGTTTCTTTGGAGTAACGCAAAAATAACCGAGTAAAGTAACGAAGTAATTAATCGATTACTTTCTACGGCGAGTAATTTGTAACGGTAATCAGTTACATTTTAAGTCAGGTAATTGTAATTGTACTTAATTACTTTCCAAGTAACGGGCACATGTCTGGTCTGAACGGTATTTGGTGTCGCTGTCGTCGCGGCGTCCCAACTCCTGGCTGTCGATGCTTCCGTGGACTGTACAGCTGGAGAGCGACCTGCAGCAGAACAGGCGTCTGCCACACCCGCCACCGCTGTTGTGACGCCGCCAGGATCGCGACCGGCGACAGCATGACACTTCTATGACGTCATCAGGCGAAAATTCAGGGAGCAGTGCTTTGCACGCAGTAAACAGACCAGTCGTGTTTTTCAGGCACCATAGCATTAAATGCCGCAGGCGAAAAGAGTTCTAAGATCGTCTGTTTCAGGGATTCATTGATCGGTTACCGTTCCAATCATCGTCGTCTGCGAGCTGCTATCTTCAACCGGGTCGTGGAACGCGTTCTGAGCATGCGCAATCTGGCTCTCTGCTACGGAATATCAGACGCCGCGTATGCGCCCGCAACTCTCGGAATAAAAAAAATAAAAAAAAATAAATAAATAAAACGTTTTGTTTGGGGCCGGGGCGCCAGTCTGGAAACCGTGGGTATGCCTCAGCAATGCTTGACTATTAGACGATCTATTCACACCTACAAGCAAGATGGCGCACCCCCAGAGGACGTACTTGCAAACGTCTCTGGTGAATTCGCGTGGTCGGCTCTCTCCTCTGACCTCGATTCAGCAGAGCGCCCCCTACTCGCCGCCAGAGCTACTCGGGATCCTTTTCAGCCGATCACAACTGCTGGCTTCAGAGCGCTCCGAGATTCTCAGACCAGTCACGGATTTAATATTTCTTGACATTGGTCATGCATTAAAGACAACACGATCTAACAGCGTACGGTGGACGATTGAGCAAAATTTACGCTCGCAACGTGATGAAATAACTGTTGTGACGTAAATTGTTTTACGCATCGGCATATAAAAAAAAAGAAGAAAACAGCAGTATGGGAATTGATTTTCGCAGAACGGAACGAAAGCCAACGCTTGGAAAGAGTTGTCAACTCATCGCGTTTTCGGCAGTGAACGCGCTGCGATAGCGGTCACGCGTACGACAGAATAGGCAAATATAAAACGGTTAATAAACCGCATTTTTCTCACGGCTAAATATCGTGCAAGCATCGCCATGTGACACAAATCACAGTGCATTATATTCGGCTCTTCCTTTATTTTAGAACACAAACGTTTGAATGCACTTTTACCAAACCTGAAAATTTCTTGAAGCGACCACAAAACCCGGTAAAACAGCGGCGAGCTCTACGAGCTGTTTCTTCGTCGGTTAGGCTTAGTGGATTCACCGCCGTGAGATCAACGATCTCGTGAAAGCGCTGGGAATACTTCACACGTCGACTTTTCCTGTTACGGTCGCAAAGGAATGTCGTCCCGTCCGTCGTAATCCTCGCACCGTCAAATTCAGAAGCACTTTGTAGAACCACATATCAATCGCCGTCATGCCGTACCCCGCACACCACCACAGACCACTGCCGGCCATCGTCAACAAAACCACGTGATCCCCGTCCAAGTACCACGTGACGCCTGCGCCGCTCCGCACTCCGACGGCTAGAGACGGAGTGCCAGAGAGCGCTCTGAGAGGGAGAGGCGCCCTCGGAATGAACCACCCGATCAGGCCACAGCACTCTCTTTCAACCACCCGATCTCGCGCGCTCTGGAAAGAGCGCTCGAGAGCGCGCGGAAAGAACCACGCGAATTCGCCTACATGGCCGCTGCCATGTTTGTTTATGCTGACACCATGACACACAGTAGTGAGGCTGCGCTTTTTGCAAAACTCCGTTTTTTTTTTTGTTTTTTTTTTGTTTTTAAGGACTTTGCACTTGTTGTACTGCAAGAACGTCCGACATACATAATCACGAAGCTCGAAGAACAACACCGATGCCAAGAGTGCCGTAAAAAGCAAGTCTTGTTTTATGCGCAGCCCTTTTCTTCCCATGGGCCTGCGTTTGAGATTATTATTTCCCAATTTTATCGCTGGCGGCTAGGATTTCGGACACTACACCTTTCCACAGGGGCGCTGCTATCTTGAGTGTCGTCACCTCTGGTACGCGTTAAAACATCGATTTGATCTCTCCACGCCACTGGAAGGTGTTCGAAAGGAACACGTGATTGGCCCACATTCTTGTTTTGCTTCACCTATATTTTCTCGCACATTCCAGATAGATATGTCTTATTATTTTTTTGTCCCTCATACCAGACACGGAATCCACGTGACTGAGAACGAAAGGAAACAAAAAAAAAAACGTCTATACTCTTTTTTCGCCCCAAGAACCGTAGAAAAAAAATACGGCTTATCACAGAGCGTTACCAACTTCCCTCTTTATGCTGCGAATTGGGATATACGTATAGATGCATTTCAGATTAAACATATGTTACCTTATCAAAATGTACACGTTTCAAACGCCAAAAGCATGTCTTTTGCCTCAAATCTTGTAAGAGCTGCTTCGCATCGCGGCGTATTAACATTGAGCAAAACGTCCTTGTTTCTTGAGGTGAAAACGGTTATATACGAAGAGAAATCAAGGGAGAGGAAGATCTGAGAGCACGCCAGGCGTCAGAACACGGAGCTCTGATTGGAGTGAGACTTCGATAACGATGCCCGATGTTCCGCCGCCGCCTTTACGCATGCATCCTATCGTTATCGGTTATTGTTATCGGGGGGATCGGAACGGTCTGCTAAGGCTCTCTTTTATCTCTACTCGTTGTTTGAAGGCCGCACGCCGGCGTCCGCCGTTCAAGCGCGCGACAATGTGCGAGGAGCAGACGACACTGTTCCCTCTGTGAGGAGGGAGAGTACCGTAGGAATACTGCAATGCAATGCGTTCTCACCTGTGCTTCGGGGCATGCGAATGACCAAAGGCTGGTTTAGCGTTAAACGACTGCGTTAGAACTTCTTGCATTTCCACCGAGACGTGCGCCTGCGCGCCTATACGTCACTCTTTCACAGATACACCTCAGTGCGTGGTGCTCCCTAGATTTATTTTTCTTTGCACACATTTCTTTCTATCCTCGCGATATTATAATTTCGGGTCGCGACCCTATCTTTGAGGAAACAACTGAATAACGAATGTCGATTTCTCGTTGTGTTTTTTTTCAGGCCCACGCCATGCAGGCGGCCCAGTCCGAGAAAAGGGCCAGAGGCAGGACCGGCTGGCCACAACATGTCTGGGCTCTTGAGCTCAAGCAAGATTCCTGAGGAGTGTCCACTTCAAACGTCTTCCACATCAGCACAGCTCTGGTCTTCTGCGCAGCGTCGCCCTATCAACAGCATCGCCTCAAGCAAGCTAGACAGGGCATCATCTCGGCCATTACGAGCATCATCCTTCCGACAACATCCTCTCAAGGGGGCCTCATCTTGACCATCACGTCTCTTCAGCACATCGGTGTCCCCAACAAAAGAAGATATCACGTTTTCCTGGAGGATACCAAGTTGGAATGTCCCTGCAGTTGCAACACCCGAATGGAGGAGCAAGAACGGACAATGTGGGATAAGTCTAAAAAAATACTACAGAGGGGAAAAAAAAAGTCGGCAAGAGTACCATGGTTGTTGCTTGCGCAACAACCGCTCACGACGACGGTGTCACGAGGGCGTGATCTGGCTACGTGATGAGACTATGATCAGCAGTGGCGAAGATGGCCGCGTGCGAGTTGTGATAGTTTTGAGGGTGTCAGGACTAGGAAGGCAACAGAGAGATCGCTTGACGACTGAGGGGCTCGCTCAACCGAAGCGTCTGCGAGATTCTGGGTTGGGAGATGGGCCTTGTCCCGAGACGGTGGTGTTCGACGTGTCTACAAAGCGGCCTGTTTGTCGCGCCGCCCTCTTCCGATGCCAGACAGAACAGCGAGTCACGTGCCCCTGACCGTGTGAAGAGCGCGGGTCGAGCAGCACTGGGCAGGAGCAGACCGCGCATGACTGGACCCGTAGTCGAGAACGTGGGTGCCCACGGATTCTCCGGCCGCCATTCGCGAGGAGGTCGAGAGAAACACGCATTTGCGCGAAGCTCGCTTTTGGCGAAACACGACACGCGAAAAGAGGTGTTCTTCGTCGTACCCCTTTCCCTGGGCAGTGAGACTTCACTTTTTTTCCTCAACTTCCGAAAACGCCTGCAGTTTTTCTCCCTAAGAGGCAATAGGCTTGCTTCCAACGTTCTTTATGCGAGATTCTTTGAAAAACTACAGTCATTCGGAGAACAGGTGACAGCGAGATCATGTTTCAGCGTACCAAGCAGCCGCAATATTTTCTTTGAACATTCGCTACCTTCTTTGGGCCCACTGACACTTTTTCCGCCGCTTTATTTTCAACTTTGTAATACGTCTACTGTCGTTGCCGTGGTTCACTAGTTATTATTAATTCGTCTGAGCTTGTAAATTGTTCTTGAAAAAAAAATGCTTGTTTTCGTTGCCTGCGCAGACGTTTTCGCTTTAAGGGCTCGTGGTTTCTCGCAGTTTACTATACCAAAGACAGCTCTTCACGTGCGCTAATTATAGGTGATAATATTTTGTAAGGTCATTGAGAGACCTCACCAATGCCTGGTACTATAATACTCAGAAATCAACACACACAGAAAAAAAAAACGTCGATGACTTTCGCTGAAAACAGCTATGGTCTCGTAGTGTCGACAGCCAGCATGGATGGTCACTATAGCTAGAGACAGAAAACGTAGCGGGGATCATTTTGCAATTGCAAACCCGACTTTCTTATTTTTATTCTCAGGGGAGAAAGAAATACCGTAGACGTACCATTTTTTATGTTTCCGTATTCTTTTATAAAGGTTATGGCCTTAATTACGACGTCAGCGTTCTTCGGGTGCGCGCTTTCTCTGGAGTGCAATGTTTTAAAGTTTCGTTGGTTGGTTCCTTTTAGTATTTTTTTTTATTATTATTTGTCACGCTCACGTTTTGTTTTGGAATAAAAAATTATAAAAAAACATTCTTTGTGTCCTTATAGCGATTATCTGATAGGGCAAGCGCGGCAACAGGCATAAAGACTCAGATTCGCGCAAAAAGTGATAATGAGTAACACAAAAGAAGCCTCAGGCTGTAATACATACACTCTAAGAAATGCCTGCGCGTCTACTTACCCGCAAAACACTCGAAGAGCCAATCTCTGCGATCTACGCAATTAGCTCAGTGAATGATGAGGCGGAACATCTGTTTAGATCTCAAAATTAAGCCCGCGCTGTGGCATTACGCAATGCAATGCATGACGCTTTGCATAGCGTAATGCCACAGCGCAGACTTCATTTTGATGTCTAAACATATGTTCTGCCTCATCATTCGCTGAGCGGATTTCGTAGATCGCAGAGATTGGCTCTTCGAGTGTTTTGTGGGTAAGGAGACGCGCATGCATTTCTTAGAGTGTATACAGCGCGCCTTGGCACAATATATAAACTCAATCGGGGATGGGCAAAGTACTCGCAAAAACGCATCGAAATATAGAGTTAAGATACTTAGACAAATATGTATTTAATCACATTACCAATTATGCTTTTCAAAAGTGCATTTAAATGCCAAATATACAAGGAACAAAGGGCATTTTATCGTCTTCAGATGCATTTACAGAGCACGCTTTGTGCCCATAGTTTAGTCCTAAATAACCCCAGGTAAGAACAAAACAAAAAACAAAAACAAAAAACGTTTTCGTATGTAGTGGAATCTATAAATGTACCAAGTATCAAGTTCTTAAACAGAAAGTGTCAGCATTAGGATATTTGGTGTATGATAGGCGGGTACATCACCAGAAAAAAAAACATGTATTCAGTGCGAGCTTAATTTCAAAGTTATAACTGAAAAGACAAAACCTTTGCAGACAATGTAGATGGTTGAGCGTGTTGGTTATTAATTTACGATAAGGAAAGAGGGGCATTTAAGGCAGACAGAGACAGGCTTATTTTTTATTCCGAAGCGCGTGAAAGAGCTTGTCCCGTGGCGCTGGCTGTGCTACGGCGACATTTTGTTCTCCACAATTTCCTCGTATTTTCCCTGTGAGTACGTGCTGTCGGCATCGGGTACTACCGCGGATATCTTGCACCGTGGGTACAACAAACGATGGTATCGCCCTAAACAGAAGTACGTTGAGGGACCCTAGCATAGACAATGTGCACGACGTTTCACGTGCTCGTTGTCTCAACGCACACCAATTCTCTTTTTTAGTCTGTATTGTAGTTTAAGTTTCATCAATCGCTGAGATATCCTTTCGTTCTTCGCAGTGACCGGCTGCCTGCGTGTCCTGTAGCGAAAGGGAACATACGGGCCCATTTTCTTTTCAGTGGATATATTATACAATCACATATCGCGATGACTGGTACACTGACGGTAAACCATAGTTTGTTGGATACAAAAAACAAGCATTCTGTATCGTTATTTTGCTTTCCAGATGTCCCGCAAGTTATATATATCTAATAGTGTCTCGCGGTATCGGGTGTTATAGAAGCCGAAGGCAGACAGTTAGTAGGCACTGATCAGTGTCTTTGTTGCTTGTTGCGCCAAGTCGTCGCACATGTCTGCCGCTCCTCTCATTCCAAAAAAAGCTGGAGCGCCTACTTCCCCGCAAAGCACTTGGGAGAGAATTAATGAGCTCGGCGAATGACAGGACTCGAAATAAGTTTAGATATTAAAACAGTGTGCATTGCGGCACGAGTACGGGAAAGGGTAATGGTCAGTGCTATAACATACACTGTTTTTTTCTGTTTTTTTTTTTATATAGTTTTTGCACGATTTATAGACTCTCGTGTTAATGCGGATGTAAAAGAGAAAAAAAAGTAGGAGGTGAGAGCGCACGCGGCGCCGCGAGAGTACGCGAACTACAGGGGGCGCTTCTCTAGCTATCATCATCGTCGTTTGTGACGTCACGGGTAGGACAGACTGGGTCAGACCGCGCAGATCCTGGATCCCTCGGCTCATCAGCTCGCGTCATGCGCTGTTTGGGTAACGCGCGGCCAAGCCTAGGGTGCCTCAATGACCTTCTGTTTAGAGTGATGCCACCCTTTGTAGTACCCGATGCCGACAAAACGCGCTCACGGGGAAAATACAAAGAAATCGACGAAAACAAAATGTCGCCATAGCACAGTCAGCGCCACAGACGCGTGCAGGGACACGCTCTTTCACGCGCTTCTGAACAAAAAAAAAATGTAAAAGTGGGAACAAAATGGCCAGATGTCTCCACCCTAAGCAAAGCGCACATGAAGGCACCCTAGCCAAGCCTGTTTCACGCGTTGCGTTTATTCGGGGAAGTAATATTTGTAGGAGGACATTTTACCAAAGCTTGAAACCGTGGCACGCGTAGTCGTGCTAACAAACCTTTTTGACGCTGAGGTGTCGAAGCGCTGCGATGTTGGTGTGCTGTTCTCTACCCCAGTACAAAAAGCTGGAGGATGAAAATAGAATATCCAGCGCTTTGTCGCACTACAACATCTACCACGGCGAATAGGGTGTATTTCTTTATTATGATTCGGACAAAATCAAACTGAGAAAGGATTGTCTCATCAAATTGAAAACAGAAAAGCGAAATTCGAGAACCTCTCGCGTGTGTAGTAAACACTTCAGTGAAAGCGGCTTCATGTATCGTGTTGGTTCAATTGTGTATTCTGGGTCTCTTATTAGTCAAAATAACTCAGCAAGAAGAAGCGGTGGCTGGCTTACGGAGTCGTTTCAATCAGATCTTTGCAACGTATTCGATGCGGGAGGACTTAAGTACCAGTTGCTGACGAGCCTTTGCTCGTCAGCAGCTGTTGAGTAACACTTGGATAGAAGCTTCGGTATCGGCATTCTCAATGTAGTACAAACCAAGTGTGCGTCGCTTTGCAACACAACTGTGCGCGCGTGCACAGCTAAGAAGACAGCCCGACATAAACTCTGGTGAGGGCAAAACTCTTTTCTACAACAATCTCCACAGATCCGAAAAAAAAAAAAAAAAAGAAAACACGAATCAGACAGGTTGTAAATGGCCCACACGCACGCCTCGCAAGCTGTAAGGTGAAGCTCAAGGCTCGTTTCTTAACATATGAAAGATTTTGATTTTTCTTTTTATATAGTATAAGAAGCAATTTCGAGGCGCTGTTATTCATTAGAAAAATCACTCACAAAAACGTCGTACACGTTTCTTTAATAAATAACCCGCTTTTGAAAATCGGCATAGATGTGAACTAAAATAGCCACTCCGTGCTTTGACCAAGCGCGTCGTCTGCTCGCATCCTACCAGCTGCGTCACAGAAGGGCGCCCGCGAGGTGGCGCCACCAAAACATCTCGTCGCCAATAGCTGCCTTTGTGTTCGAACGCGAACTTCGAATGCCGGACACCGGCGCTCGAGCGCGATCGATGAGTGAGTAGAGACTCAGATTTGCGTCTACCCACCTATCATTCCAGTCAGACCTCGGTGTTTTGACGTGCCCGCGCTTTCTCGTCTCCATCAGTTTTCACCCGCATACGCTGCAAAGCCAGTAACGAAGATCCACTTGACTGTGGTGGAAAGAGCACGCGTACTCGCGCAAGCTTCAAGGCGTTGATTACGCCTTCAAGCTTGGAGCCTACAAGTTCAGTGTTTCAAGGCCTAACCAGCTCATAAACGCACACTTAGAGTCGACTCTATCTCATTTCTATGTACCATGTTGTACAATATTTTTTTTTTTTTTTTGTGGCATGCGAAGAAAGCTTGTTGGGGTATATTTATATATTCCCCCAAGCAGAGCATGCTTGAGATAGTAATTCATATATATATATATATATATATATATATATATATATATATATATATATATATATATATATATATATATATATATATATATATATATACAGCGGGCATGGTGGCGGGGGCCGAAGGCGTGGGCATAGAATAAGAAAAGAATCCTTAGTGAAAACAGCAACAACGGACGATTTAATCTTCGACGTTTCGGCCGGAGTCCGGCCTTCGTCAGGAAGGCCGGACTCCGGCCGAATATATATATATATATATAAAGAGAGAGAGAGAACGTAGCGCAGGATGTCGAAAAGTGTGTATGTGTGGCAGAAAAACGTACTTGAGACGATTTTCGGCCAAACAACCGTCTCAAATACGTTTCTCTGTCACACACACACACACACACATATATATGGAAGTCGAAACCGTATCCTTACCCCGTGTTGAGCAGAAGTCGAGCTTGGAGGAGAAACGCCCATGCAACTTGACAACGTATACAAGGCAGTTCACACTCGGTAACGGCGCTCCAGACGGACTGGTCGAGCAAACTCTGAACTTTACGGTGCCGGGGAACGCGTCTTGGACTGGTGTGTTTCGCGTCTTAAGTGGTCCCCGAAGCGGCCACGAACGACGCCGCAGAAGCCGGCGTGCCATTCCGTCGGATGTCTCGCGATCCTGGCGCTAGAAGCCCCGGCAAAACGTCCGAGCGAACGCGAGTGTCCCTGTCGACGCGGCGTCCCAACTCCTGGCAGCCCAAGCTTCCGCCGACGGTCGAACTGGGGAGCGGCCTGCAAAACAATAGGCAGTAGCACCTAGAAGGGAAGGCCTGACCCGTTCTCCCTCAAACGTCACCGATCCACGCAGCGTCGCCTACCTTGGCTGTGTTCCGAACCTTACCCAAATGGAACCGAGTTACTGCGGCGGATCACGTCACGTGACAGATGGAGCAACGCTGGACGCGGGTAGGTTTTTGAACGCCAAGATACAGAACCTTTAACCTAGACTGAGATCAAGTCAACTGGAACACGGCCCGAGAATCAGCATCGTCGACGGCGCGTCTGGTAGAGCCTCAGAACGAGCGCGACGGCACCCGGAGGAAATGGAAAAACCACTCTTTTAGGACACGGTAAACACTCCGGTCGGAAACGCCGACGTCATGCACCAAACTCTTCAGACCTCCTAGCACAAATCGCATTAGACTTTGAGCGACCCTTCCGGAGACAGGGCGGTCACGTGGGTTCATTTCCGTA